GTTGAAAGGAACTTGTGATGAATTAATTCTAAATATTTGCAGAGTTTTCTGTCTGACCATGATTGAACTTGATTCACACATTCATTTGTTCTTCAAACACACAGCCAGTAGGGCGTGTGTTCATACACACTATATGAAAGTTCAAATATTAACTGATTAGATAACAGTTACTGGGGTAGGAAATGAATATATTAAAGTTACACAACACATCTCATATCTTTTTTATGACTTTCAAAGAAGAGGCATTTATTCTCTTCCTTTGCCAATCATTAAAGTTGTGGAAGTTGATGGGTTTGGATTTTAATCTTTGTTTTATCCTTATAAGGAGACATAACTCCTCATGCATTGTTAATTTATTAATTTTGTTTAATTTATTAACTAATTTTGTCTAATTTGAGTTCACTTCAGCCTTCTTTGTAGACCTTATTCGTGTCACTAACACCACTTAACCTCTCAAAACGTGGATGTTAAGTGGGGTAATAAGTCAGAATGCATAAAATTCCACCAGTAAAATGTTTACCAATGTAGATATGTTAGACATCATTGGAAAGCTTAGATTCTCCACAATTCAACAACCGAGATAATTTTTTGGACACAGCGAGCACTAAAGCACAATTAACACAGATATAGCAGCATGTCAAAATATAAAGATTAAAAGTAATTCAGCGTATTAGTAATAAAAATATTCCATGATAAGAAAATCGCCCATAACGTCCGGTTGTTGACATCAGAAAGATCGGCTGGTCATAGCTTATTCTCAGCATCTTGCTGATATTTACTTAATACTTGAAACTTATTTCCTTGGTTGTTAGCCCGCAATTTTTGGTATGGTTCTTTACATCATCTTCTTATCTACAAGACACAAGCGTCTGCATATTTTTAATGACGCAAACTGAACAAGATATAGTCCCCGAAATCTCACCTCCGGTTCACTTGCTGTCAGTCTGTGACGCGCAATATGATTGATGTTTTAATCTCTGTTGCTATTGGTTAAGACTATGTGGGGTGTTGGGCTTTGTAGCCAATGAAATAAGGTTTTGAATGCACCCAAATGTGTGTAGTTTATTTGAAGGGGTACCGCATTACAGGCTTGTGTTAGAGAGAAACACAGACACCTGCGGGTGGAGCCATTGCGCGCCGCTCCAAGCTGACAAAAGTTCCAAACCCCACAGCTCTGGAACTGTTGTAGCTAGAGGTCTGACATTTTCTGCATTTGTGGTTGACATGATGTAGAACAAATATAATACAATGAGACCTGCCTTTTGTCAAGAATGTCTTTATTACTGCTTTTCAAAAAAGACCTATCATTTCTGAGAATAAAAAAAACGACTTTGAGTCATGTTTGAACTGCTGCAGCTTGGTCTGTGTTCTACTCACCCAAGTTTAATTTATATATTCAGAAACTAGAGGGTATTAGCTTTCAAATAATGTTTTGCACATGTAATTTGGGCTACAGTTCCTAAGTTATTTGCTTTGCCATTTGGGTATGCAAAAATGAGGTGGATGTTAAGAGGGTAATGTTTATACAGAATGAGTAGTATCCACACTAACCGTCAACTTGCTGGCTGTTGCAGGATGTCATTCGGAAAACTGTGGAGGACAGACAGAAAATGGAGGAAGAGCGAAAGAGGACCGAGGAGAAGAAAAGAGCTCTGTCTGGGAAAAGATCTGCTCTGGACAGGTTCAAAAAATAAAAAAGGACTCATTGTGCAACTCAAAACGCAGCGACACTCTGTGGGAGCAATCTTTGACCTCCATATGGAAACATGGCCCAGTGGTATGCAGAAGTTCTGGTGGTTGTGGGCAGCTAGGGCCAGATCTGATGGGAAACAGTTCATGAAATCAATGTTGAATGCTCCGGCTGCTCTGCTCTACTTATCGACTGTAGCCCAAAGCAAGTCCTGTTTATGTTCATGTGATGGACCTTAGCCTGCATTAGCTGTAACCCAGATTCTTTTTATACTAAAAACTTACTGTATGACTTTCAGCTGTTTTTCTAAGCTCTGTTAAGATTTATTTTTACAAAAACATTTAACAGAAACATAAAACAGATTGACCATAGTGCAGCATTGCCATTTGTTCAAATGCATTTACATAACACAGCTTTCAAAACACGCTGCTCTAAATAGATGTAAATTCATAAATGTATCACATTTTGTACAAGTATTAAAAATGGGTCCCTAAGACAGAAAAAGGCTCCACTTGTTTACTTCAGTTAAGCCCATAATTATTGAAATCTCTGAAAATTTTAGACTTCATGTTTTTTCTTTTATCCAATTATTATTTTTAAGGGAAATGGCGGCCATCTCAAAAGATCCTAAATATGTTGTAGAGGGTTTAATATAGTTAAACTAGTTTTTTTTTTGTTTTTTTTTTGTTTTTTTACAAGTTAGATTGAAAAATTTGACCGCTTTGAATAGTAAACGAAGAGGGGGAGTGGCTGCCTAGTGGTTAGGGCATAGAGCTTGGAATCCTGAGGTTCAAGCCCCACTCCCACAGACTGCCACTCTGGGTCTCTGAGCAAGACCCTTTACTCCCGATTGCGCCCTAAGATGGCAGCCCTTTGCTCCCCAAGTGAATGGGTTAAAAAGTACATTTCTTCAATGTGAGATGAATAAAGTACAATTATTATTATTATTATTATTATTATTATTAAGAAACAAACTATTGTTATCACAGCAGTCTGTGAGCTGTCATATAATTGATGACCTAATTTTTTTATTTTTTTTTTGCATTTCTGCAGTTATATTTGAATTAAGATTGAATTTTAGTTATGAGTTTAAGTCTTCAGGGTTAGAAGGTCTTTACGTCATAAACTTAATCGTTAGCTTCCTCCACAGATGTTCTATTCTTCCAGACTCTGGTTAGTCGACTACGATTAATGGAGTCATGTTGGTAAAGATTACTTACGTCTGCCAGGGGTCTATTTGTGGGTCTAACAATACTTGAAGACAAGTAGTTTTTGCCAAGCTTCATTACTAAAATACTGTGACAGATAATTATTTTACATATGGCACAACTATTTTGAAAATAAAAGCTGTTTAGCAGACTGCTAGGATCAGTGGAAGTCGATTTTTGTGTTTTCTGGCTGTGGTGCTAATGATAACTACGAGTTTGTGCGCATTTTACAGTACAGTTCTTTTCCAGAACCATCTGTGCACATCAACTTAAAGGGATTTGCCAACCTTCTAGTCATGTTCTAATGCATATTTGAAATAATATTATGACCCTTTAATTGTTGACATTGACCCAGACAGGGCCTAATTAATTGGTACACATGAAGTTGATAGCAGGAATAGCTTGTCAGGATGTGGTTATACTGATGCCATATCAGGAGGGCTGCTATACAACTATCCTCATTAAAAAGGACATTTTGATATTGCAAAGATGGACTGAAAATAAAACTTCAGTGAATATTAACTCAAAGAACTACACTGCAGTCTAACATAAGTACTTAACTGTTATCCTATTTTGCTGGATCCGGGCTTAGAGGAGAACACGTTTCTAAAAGGACAGTGATTTATTGGGAAGACGGTCGTAAGAAATTTAGTATTTTTATTTAATTGTAATATTTTGCCATATCTCCTTAAGAATTATTATACATCCCAGAGCTCTGATGACATATGTTTTGTATACATTTTTGTATAGTCATGAAGCGCAACAGCTTTTTAGCTGGATTGGTTTCCAAGGTTTGAAGAGGTTTCACTTACCCTCCAGCAAGCTTTCTCAATTCAAATGACTCGTCTGTTTCAATTTGAATGTGCCAAGCAATACAAGGCCTTGTCTATATAAAGCCTCAAACTCACTGCGGATCCAGACATTTGAATTGAGAAAGCTTCCTGAAGGGGAAGCGAAACGTCTTCAAACCTTGTAAACCAAGTCCAGTGGATTGTTTTTAAACTTTTACGGAATGACTATGACCTGGATGACTGAGAATCCTCATCAGCATATTTTTCAGAAGAATGAAGTCAGATACTGACTCAAGAATAGCTTGTAGTTCCAGTCCAGCGGATTGTTTTTAAATTTTTACGTAATTCTTTTGAAAAGCGTTTTAAGTTATATTGCCTCAAATAAATACTTTCTGAGCTCACCGGATGCTATCCATACTCTGGTCATGGACAGGTTGTGTTAATTTCAGCTGTATTTTCTGAAAAAGTAAACATTATTTGATCTTGATAAAATTGGGTTTTATTTAAAATGTAATAGTGGTAGTTTGGAATTTCCTCTCTAAAGTAAAAAAATGTTCACCTGTTTTGTTTAGCTTGCATAAAGATGTAAGAAATACTATTTGGCAGAAGAGCACAAAGGAAAGAAGCAGGCTGGTTTTACCTGGGATGTGGGTGTTTATTGGTGTCATAATTCCATTCATACAAATAAATAAGGAAAACCAAAACTTGGCAAATATATATATCCTACATTTCCTAACTAACATTTTTTTCATCAAGGCACACCAGAGATTCGGCCTAGTCTGAGCACTTTAACTCTGAGCAGTTTAAAATCTGCTCTTTGTTGGTAATAACAGGTGTTAGAATCACTTTGAGTCACTTGCTGCAACATAAACCGTTAGAAAAAACTGTCACCTGAACTGGTTATTTACATCTAGTGTGTCAATTTCCTTTGTACCTCCTTTTAAATCTCTTGCCTACAGAAAATTTATAACATGAACTTGTACTGAAGAGTGTTTTCACGCAATAATTGATTTGTTTGATCTGATTATATTGCTTTGGCTTTGCAGCACATGCATGGAGGCTTTAAGACTAAGTCCTACTGTCAAATGATCTAGTAATGGACTGATTGTGTGTAAATAGCCGATGCTTGCAGCATTTAATTATTCAAAGTACTTTGTCTCAAAGCATTTCTCCTATATGCATTCATCATGAGCAGCTGTATAAGCAGCATGTTTGTAAATGTTCCTCGGCTGCATGTTGTCAAATTTTGATGCTCAGACCAAGAACTAGAAATCCTGAGGTTACCTGTTTTCTAAAAAAAAAAAAAAAAAAAAAAAAAAATGTATGTGACAATCTTATAAAAATAAATCTCTAATAATGACTATAGGCATAAATATTATCAGTGCAGGTAGATTCGCAGCTTGTAGAATAACTGTGTGAGGCAAGGTGCCCTTGAGTTTAATTTAAGTCAATCCTCCAGGCCCAGGGCTGAGCCCAGCATCGCCCTGACTTTGCACATCCCCAGAGAAGCACGCTGAGTCAGCCAGGAACAGGGCGGGGAGGAATGGACATCTTTCCAATAATCCAACATCTCCTTGGGAGTGATATGATGGACAGACACCATGGCCTGATAGCAGCAGCGCCCGTATGGCACGGGTGGACCCCCGGAGAAGAGAGGGCAATGTGAGGGCTGCACCCCAGCAGCATATGCACAGAGGCCAACAAACACATCCTCTGGAGGTAAAGGTGTGGATAGAGGTGATGCTGAGGCTGCAAGGGCAACTTTAAGCAGGGCAGAGCGGGAAAAGACATAAGCTGTACCACTGCAATAGTCAGGAAACAAAGACAAAGGGTAGGCCCCAGAGGGGAGGTAATGCTTGCTGTCTGGATCACGGTTTGGGGCCACATGAAGATGGACTCTGCCAAGATACAAATCTCCTTGCTCGTAAGGGTTCCTGCTTTTGTTTAAGAAGTGAAGGAGAGCACTGGGATTAAAGAAAACGTCGTCATCCACTTTGGCCATGAAATGAGCCTGAGGGCAGAACCTGCGGACCCAGCCAAGCATGGCCAGGGTCTTCAGGGTGAGGTTGGAGTAGGAGTCCAAAAATCGGCCCTGGATCAGGTCCCCTTTCTCCCTGGCCTCTTCTATCAGCAGCTTTCCCAGGCCGGGGTCAGTGGCAACACCAACCATGAAGAGGGTCATGAACCTCAGTCCTCTCACCTCCACCTCTCCTCCCCAGGTGTCTCGGATGGCTTGGCGTGCCCGCTGATTTGCAGGTGCAGAGGTCACCAAGGCGATGAGGTAAGGCTTGGCGCGCTGGCACACCAGCGGGCTGGGCATGAGCAGAAACTCCTCTGGTTTGGACTGAGGAAGGCTCTGGGGCGAGATGATGGCCGCATGCGTCTCCACCGCCCCGCTCATACCCATCGAGGTGACCCACGTCTCAATAAAGTCCAGGAAAAGCAGCGCCAACACCGCGGCGCACGCCAGGAACGCGCAAAGGGACGATAAGACACCGGTCCTGCTTCCGCGCTTCCAAAATCTGGGCTTGCAAAATCCTCTTCCGAACATAAACGCCGTCATCATCCCCCCTCTGCTTTAAAAAAACAAACAAAAAAAATCTGGCTGCTTCCTTTTAACTTGATTTGACGTGAAGACGCATCCTGTGCCGTGCGCTCGTTGCGGTGCAGCTTTTCCTCTGGGTATGCTGCTCCTTTCTCTTTGCGTTTAGAATGATGGATATGCAGTTGCGCAAATGCTGCTGTCGTTGCAGCAGTTCTCTGCTTCTAATACACTTTCAGTGTTATAAAGAGCTGGCGGATAATAACCCAGCGCATAGTCTTAGTCCCTTAAATGTAAAGGCGTTTAATTGTTAAAGTAATCCGCTCCTTGAAGCGATGGGACGTCCGATTTCCTGCTGCAGCGCATCGATCCATTTTCTGGTTAATTTTAAAAAATCCACCGCATCATACAGCTGCGCAGTCTCTTTGATGTGCGTTTTTATTTTCCATAGATTAAAATAAGACATCCCCTCGTTGGGGAATCCCATAATTTCTATTAAATCCACATTGCATCATCTTACATCAACAAATATTTATCATAATGGCGAAGCTCCTCCAGGGTAAAGAATAAGATCTATAAGCAGACGCCCACAAGTCTGTCCTGAGTCCAATAAAAAAAGCGTTTTTTTGTGCGGTTCCACACAGATGAGAAGAAAATTTTCAAATAATGATACAAAAAAAGGTTCCATATATGTAGGCCTATATATATATTAAATTTTATATGATGCGCTCTGCAAACGCCGCTTTCCTTTCCTCCTATTGTCATCCTATCCATACCTGGAGGCTTGGGCGACACCTAGTGTTATTCTGGGGTACACATTTTATTTTATTTTATATAAAACTTGTCACCTATATAGATCCATTAAACATAATCTGGTGTTATTTCAGTTTGTTTTAATTGCTATGTCTTACAACTAATGACAGACCAAGTATTTTGTTGGAAAATAAAAAGGATTTCTGTATCAGAACTTGCATTATTGCCAAAATCATGTGAAAGATTACTGACTTCACAGCAGGTTGTTTGCCAGCAGAGTAAACCTCAAAAGGTCCTTGATAAAGGAGCCGTCTGTTTACAGAGTGCATATGAATGAAAAAGTGTAACAGAAAAAAAGGTATGAATGCAGCATTGAGGTGGTTGTAAAGTAAAGCTTGCTCATGTGTTTGAAGGAGATTTGCATGTCAGTGGGTGCGGTGCTTTGAGAGCCATTGAAAACAGATTTATCCAGGACATGGGTTACAACTGTTCCAGTGCTTTTCTACAGCTACTACTGAACCAGAGACCAGGAATTGTTTCATCCAAATTTAGGGGGAAAAGGGACTGAACTGTTGTTTAGTGGTTATTTGGATTTTATATAGGGAGCAAGTTCCCTAAGTTTTCAGTAGAGAGGCACATAATCCAGTATAAAGTTATGGTTCTATTTATGGTTATGGGTTTTTGTTTAGTTTGTTTTTTGTATTTATTTTTTGACTGATCTCAAGTTAACACAACCATCTACCAGTAAATTTTAATGCATTGCATGCTCCTCTGTGCAAATATTTTGGAGATGCTGATTTGAATATCCAGTCAGACTTAGAACCTGCCCACACTGTCCAAGTTATGTACGCAGCATCACAGCATTAAACCATATAGCTACTAATTGATTTCAAAAAAGAATTAACACTTTCTTGTGTGAGTCAAACATCTCTGAGTCAGGCGAACAGCAGCATTGACATTGCTTTATTGTTAAAGGAATCTATTCTTCCTTAGATCTGCAGAGCAGCACTTTCCCATAAAGGTTGAGCCCAATGTTAAACCCATGAAGAAAAAGATGGGTCAATTACAAAGTCTTAATTCCAATAACTCTTTTATCCATTTTGCATTTTCTTCCTCGTATTGTTTAGTTTTGGAAAAATAACAATAAAAAAAATATGAGAATGCACGGCTGCAACCACACTTATTCTGCAAAAAACAGGGAAGATATTTAGTCTCTAAATGTCCTTACTAACACAAATCACAAATTACTATATATTCATACAGCTTTTTTTTTTTTTTTACTTTCACTAAGACATTAAATAACCGATTGTCTCCTATGATCATGTAAAGTTTGTGTACATTCAGATTAAGACATCTTTGTCAGCTTCCATGGGTGATTTGAGTTTCTAGCCTGTCGGTTCACGAACATGCATCCTTAGAACAAAAACCAGTAATAAATTTAGAAAAGTAAGATTTTTTTTTTTTATTACAAAAGCAACAAGAAACAACTGCACATCAAGTGAAGACTTGTATGATAAAAATCTGTAATTTGGTTTTAATTACTATATCTGTTTTCCAGCTTTTGCATTATTCTGTTTGCAGTGCATGGGTTTTCTTCCCTTTGTGATACCTAAATTCATAAGAACATGAATGGCTTTTTTCCCTCTTTGCAGACAAGTCTTGACAAAAAATAAAGAAAAATAAGCCCAGAGAAAATCTGTATGGTTGTGTTTATGAAAAACAAAAATGTTGATCCAGACTGAGTTGGCGCCTATTTTCCTTTTTTTTCCCCCACATTAAAACCTCTTGCCTATGTAAAGAAAAGCTATCACAAAATCAAAGTTTTTTTTTCTTTGAGAAATCACATTTAATTAAAGAGAAAAATCACGTAAGTCCCCAGATCAAGATCTCTGAATAGTCTGGCACTATTACAGCACCTAAATTTTTTCCATCCCTCTGTAAGGCAGCAGCTATTTTTCTTTTTAACCTAAATTTTTTTAAGAGTTACCTCAAGATGCCTCTTTTTCTTATTTATAACTTTATGTGTTTTATTCAGCGATTTAAAAGTTTTTTCTATTCTGCAGTTCAGCTTAATTTTTTTAAAGGTTTCCTGATATAATATTTAATCTCATGTGTACCTTGCTTTCTTGTTTCATAATAAGACATGTTTTTCTTTTGGAGTAAAAAAGCGCCTTGTCTCGGTCACGTTTTTATCGGTCTTAGATTATGGTGAACTTTTTTAGAAGAATGCTACTTCTTCATGTCTTTAAATGTTGGATTCTGTTTACCATGCTTCATTAAGGTTCATCACAAACTGTAGAACCATGACACATCACTGTGACCTGCACTCTAGAGTGGGATGGCCTTCCCTCTCTACGAGAAGGCAGTGTCATTGCTACACTTTAATTTACAAGGCCCTTCTTGAATACTGCCCTCTTACATGTAACAATGATCTGTAATTGTTTTACTTGATATGTTTTTTTAATTACCTGTCATTTAATTCAATGTATCTGTGTTTCTTATGTAACTTTGCTGCCTCTTGGCCAGGACTCCCTTGAAAATTAGGTTTTTAATCTCCATGGGATTTTTTTCCTGGTTGAATAAAGGTTAAAAAAATAAATAAATTCTGTCAGCCTGTTTGTTACACCTGAAGTTCCTCACCATTCGACAATAAAAATATTTCAACTTTGCTATAGTGACATTTCCAAATTACACATCAATATGTTGGACAGTAAGTAAAAAATGGATTTTCTTATTTACATCATGGACATAATGAATTGTAAAGGACAAGTTTTTAAATAAAACAAACACTGTTAATAGCTTCCAGCAGTAGCATCTTGTACTATCCTCATGTTTGAAATTATCATTAAAATCAGACCGATGGATGGATTTTATTCAAGACTTAATTTTCCATGAATGTTGAATTAAATCCCAAAAGGTCATCGGTTAACTCGTCGCTGCGAGAAGCAAAGTTATAGCAAAGCAATAGCGAAAAAAAAAAAAAAAGAATTACATTAGAAATGTTTAAATCAAACTTGTTTTATATCGTTATAGATATTTTTTCTTTTTCGCATCATTTGATAAGTCCCCAGACGTTATGACATCATCGCTGTCTGGCTCGCGCTAGGGGTGGGGGTGTTTGAGGCATGCGGACAGAGAGGGAGGAAGAAGAATAAAAAAAAAAAAAAAAACATCATCATCAATACGCTGTTGGTGCGGGGGGGTCACGAACTATGACCTTTAACAGGAGAAAAACACAACAATTATTTTTGTAAAACAACCGAGCGCCTTAAAGCGGTGAGCGCCGTCCCTCCTAGGTGAGTGTCCGTCCTGGACTGAAAGCATTAAAGCCCTCTGAGGCAGCAGCGCTGGGTCAGAATAACGCAGCTAATCTCCCGGCTAGCCGCCTAGCTTCCTGTCCGTGAGCAGCTGCGGCTGCTCTGCGTCCGGGGATGAACTGGAACAAAGATGCGCGCAGACTTTCGGGCACAGAAATATTAACTGTTAATTACATGACAGCCCTGTTTGTTTGTTTTTAACCCCTCCACTTCGACCAGTAGATAACAGCAACAGACGCCGTTAGCCATTACTCCAGAGCAGCTGCTTTTATTTGCGCTTAGCTAGCTAACAGCAGCTAACACCGGATGAACTCGACCCCTTTACCTTTGCCATCCCGCTGACATGAGTGGTTGTAAACTGTCTGTCACTGTTTTATTTATAAAATGTGTTTTTTTTGTTTTGTTTTTTTTTCATTTTTAAATCTTTCCTTAGAGTAAAGATTTTAACTAACTCACGGTCCATTAAGTAGGCTACATAGTTACATTAAACTAATAATCGTAATTGTCTGCAGTTATGTTGGCTAGATGCCAGATTCTCCATTTTGTTCTGCGCTGTTAAATGTTTAAAGTTACTGATGGACACTGTTCAGTCAATTTATAAATAACAAGCCTGTCGCTCTTCCTATTGATCGTGAGCCCATTTATTGTTGGTACTTACATTAGTTATAAAAAAAATAGAAAAAACAGTTTAATCTAGAAACTTTAAAGTTTGAAATAGCTGAACTTACTTTTTTTTATATAACTTAAAATTTGGTTGTGTATTTCAACTCCAAGTAGATGCTTGCATGTTAAAATAATAATTTCATCATTTCAAATGCCTTGTTTTTTTGTTTGTTCAATAAATTTATTGATCCCATCATGTATGTCTTATTAAATATGTCAAGGTAAAAGAGTAGAAAAGGTAATTGGAAGTAGCAAATAAACATATTTTTTCTTATTAAGATGTTCAAATGTATTTTGAGGCTTTTTATTTTGATTTTGAGGATTTATAATTGAAAATTGATGTTCTGATTGTTAAACATAGGCTCTGTGTATGCACCCTGGCGCTCTATCTCTCCCGTTCTTTTCCCTGAAAAGAGATCACTCAGGACAAACTCTTTAAATAACACTTCATAACTTATATGTATTAAATAACCAGGAGACCACAACAGATTCTGATTGAACTTGTAATCTTACTCAGATCAGAGAAATTGCTTAGAATATATAGAAGGCAGCTGCTCACCTTCGGGCTCACCTCTTAGGAAGTGGCCCCGATTAACAGTTAAAAAGGCATTTTATACATCTCAATTCTGCCACATCACCTTATTTTACATCATACACGTTAGCAGATTATTAGAAATCCATGGCTCAAGCCTTATCAGAATATTACACTTCATTCTTAGCTGAAGGACACCGCTGTCATTCCATTTCATTTCCAAATCTCTGCCACATAGAGAATAAAGATTATAACTGTATATCCAGACAGAGGAACTGTCTTAATTAGATTAAAACATCAGTTTTGACATGCAACTGACAGCCAATACCAAGGTGTAATAAACTTACACATCTTCAGTGATAATTTTCCTAACATAATAATCATAATGATAATTAAATAAGTATGATAAAATCTTCATCTGATGCGTTTTTTAACTCCAGTCGTCAAGGTCCAATGTCATGTACATTTTTTAGAAGCCCTTTACCTCACAGGATTTAGATGATGTTAT